CGTATTGGGAGCGAGATCTCGAACGTCAACCGAGATAAGTTGTAAAGCCGCGGAGACGCGGCATCGCGCGACGGATAGATCAGAGCGGATCTCGTGTGGCGGATCTTCGCGCGTCGAGACCCCATTTTAATTTCATCGTAAAGTTTGCGCCGTTATTACACCGGAGCCGTATCCTGTTTACGAGAGGCTTGCGCACATTCCACGCGGATGTCCAGATAATCCCGTTAATATACTCCCCGATGCTTCTGTTCGCACGACGACGATATTTATATACAGATGCGTGTAATAAAAAAAAAAAAAAATAAAAATAAAAATAAAAAACATCGCGTTGTAGCGAGTTGAACTTTCGTAAATATAATCGAGAATGATCAGTGTTGAAAATCAAAGATTTTTAGCGCTTTAACACATAAGCCCGTGATAAAAATAAACAAAAAAGAATCCGTTTCGTGGATTTATCCGCGTTCTAGAAATGTTTCTTTCATTCTCCGTTGACATTCTTCTTTTGCAGAAGTATTTCAAGAAAGATCCTTCGAGTCGACATTTGACATTTCGTTTCTTGTGCGGAAACATTTCGAGAAAGTTTAGTCACTTGTATATATCGTTTAAAATAAAAATTTATATTCCGATACGTATATAAATACATACATATATATATATATATATATATATATATATATTTATATTTATATTAATAAAAAACTTGTTTTGTATAAAAGGTTTTATATTTTTTGCGTTTTTCTCCTTCCGTCAAAAACTCAGTAGAGAAACGCTGTTTTCCGCATCACTTACAAACTTCTTTCGGGTTTTATGTATATTTTTCAATAGAGTATAAGAGCATTACACATCTCAATCGATTGCGTCTCGCGATTCGGAATCGACGCCGACAAAAACCCAATTCCGTTGCTAAAAATCCGACTCTCGTGTGAGTTATTCACGAAACGCGATAGGCGCGGAAACCGCGGGAAGAATGTGCAATTGCAGTCGGTCAAAAAGTGACCTGGATACGAAACAGTCGGGATGTGTTGGCGCGCGCAAGTTCGACGATCGTCGGATCGCATCGTTCAAACTTCGTCAGTCGGTCGGATTTTTTTACACGTTACACAGAAGTCGGGACGTACGAGGGATAAAAAAAAAAAAAAAAAAAAACCGGACGTGTAGCCTTTTTCCTCCTCTTCCTCCCACGGGAACTCGACACACAGGGTGGGAAGAAGGGAGGGAAAAACTGCTGGATTTATCACGAGCGTGACTATGCACGTGCGCGCACAGTCTGCGCTCGAGAGATGTGCAAACTGAGAATTTTCGCGATTGAGCTGTCTGCTCTGCTTTGAAAGTTTTCCCGCAGCGGTCTCTATATGAAGAACTTTTACGCCATTCGCTTTGTTTTCTCTTTTCTTCGGGTTTTTTTTTTTTTTTTTTTAACGACTTTTGATAACTGAATAGTTGACATGCATATTTATATCGCAGCAACAGCTGCCACTTCCAAATAGAGCAGTTCCGTATAGAACAGTTTTCCATCCGCTAGCGGCCAGATATTGCATGGTATAGAAAAGCGCGGGCAAAAAAGTTCGATAACACGAAATTTCTGTCAAACGTTAAAATTCGTTGTTGTTAAAAACACAAAAAATTTCTCGCGTATTTTGCTTTGTACAAATGCGCGACGATGTAAGATTAAAAAAAAAAAAAAAAAACATTTTTTAAATCTTCTCATCGCGTTGTTTTTTTTAAAAAAAATACGCGAATATCGTAAGAACAAAATCATGTTTTTTTTACTTCATATGCGCGCTTTATAATTTATAAAATGCAAATTCTTCGGAGATGTTTCTTTTCCGCCGTGCGATGTACTCTATAAATATTCTCTCTTGACATTTCGGGATATCCGACAAACGTTATTCTTTCTTTTGATCTCGTCCTTGCTTAAAATGTGGACATTTCGCATATGTGTGTATTGTGTATGTATGTGTGTGTGTGTATATATGCCCGCGGTGCACGTGAAATTTGCTCTGCACACGTGTATGTAGGTTACCGACAATGTATTAGGTACGATTGGTACGTTCTGGCCGATAACATGGCAGTGACGGTGGTTGATAAGGATGACGTAGGATTCGAAAAGCGATACTGAAAGGGTGATAAGGGAAGATCGGGGATGCGAATCGTATCGGGAATTTCTCGTAGCAAAACGATTAATACTCCGTACGACATACCGTACAAGGTAGAGAGTTCTATCGAATAATTACTGTTCAGAAAGTTTTTTTCTGATAAGATCGGGATAGTATAATAGCGAGCTTACGTATTCAAACGATTTATGACTAACTTCTTTAACAAAATTATTTACATTATATGTACATGTTCGAACTTTGTTTTCGCGATTGTTGAAATACAGGCTAAGTATTTATAAATTGCGCGAACAATATCTATGCGGTAAATCGAGAAAAAGGCTTCGTATGTAACAATAATAAATAAATAATAATATAAAAACTTTAACTTATCTGCTAAAGAACTAAATCAAGAGCTCCTCTTTTCCAGCATTTTTGCCAATGTATAATTTCCATCAACAAAATTTTCAAGATTTATTTTTACCGCAAACACGTTTTAAAATATTAAACATTTATAATATATTTTGCAACGGAACGCAGTTGTAAATTGTATTGCTTGTGCGTTGCTGCGTAGAGTTTGATTAAAATAACGAATTTCAAAGAACAATATGTACCTACACCGTATTATGTATGTTACACCGTTCGCGTTTCGCGACACAAATGCGATTGTTAACGAATTTATATCTTGGGTTCGTTAACACATAATTCTCAAAATGTCTCTTTCTCAATCCCGCGCGTTTGTTTTTTTTTCTCCCATTTCAAACAAAATAACAACAATCAACAATAATATCCTATTTTGTTTGCAAGCTGTTAACGACTACAAATTTACACAATCTGATCTGACACTTTCCCGTCGAGATATGATATTCTCTAATGGCAGTAACAAGTTCGACGGTCTTTTTTGTCGCAATAACGGTTCGGGATCGATAGAGATTTATACGCGAAGTATTTATTTTATTTATGCGAAGAGTGTTGTTACGCGATGCTCTCTCAGCTAATTAGTAAAGTTCAACTACAACCGGATGAGAGGATATTGATGGAGATACGGGAAAAGTACCGATCGTGCTTGTTTACGTAAAATCGCGAGAGATAGATAGGTCCTTGTTCCTCACACGTTGCTCGTAACCTTTTTCCAGCGCATCCAGACAAGATTCGCCAGTTCACATCTTGATTTGAGGTGTAGATACCTTCGCCGTGTGTTACGTAAAATCTCCGATCTTATCTTTTAACTATACCGTTTCACGCACGATATCAATAAAGATAACAAGAAAAGGAAAACGTCATATTTACATATAAAAATATATCTTATCGTGATTGATCGATAGGTTTATGTATATAATACACATGTATGTATATATATATATATATATTTATATATTAGGAATATAGATAAAACTTTTTTCTTAACGTACGCCGCGCGATTTGTTTCTGATACGTTTTCACATATCACAATTTTCGTAGCGATCCGCTGTATGGTTTTTTTTTTTTTTTTCGACAGGGGAGAGGGTATGTATATAATAGATAACGCAGTACCGCAGAAGTGGAATATGGTCCAGTCTGGGGAAATGATCTGATGTTACGTTATTTGTTTTTTATCGGTTTTAATTGTAATTTTTCAAGCGTCTGTAGAAATTGCAGTCTTAATTTTATTAGACGACCGAATTGTAACATCCGTAGATATACGCCGTTGTGTAATCGTCGTTGAAAAACTCGAAAGCAAGTCGCGCGTAAAAATACGTAATTATTATTATTTTCGTACACATATCTTCCCCGCGTTTAGAATTTAATTAACTGTTTGCGGAAAAAAGTATTTTTAAGTTTCTTGCAATAACAATTAGATATAAAATATACGCGCAAAATATGAGAAAATCCGAAAATAAATAACAAGTAAAAACAATTAATTATTTAAAGTACGTTGTTGTCACGTTCAAATAAACTTGCTTCTCTTTACGCAACGTGGAGAGCGTTTTACGGCGAAGAAGAAATATTCCAAATGTGCGCAATTAAATATTCGCGAGAGAACGCGCCGAACATTACGTGCGCGAAAAATTGCACGACCTTCTCCTAATCAGTTCGGGCGGTCGATTGCCGTTAGCAAACGAGCAGCAAATCCTTGTTGGCATCCACGTCAATATGCACCGCGAATGTATCGGATAGTCTGCTTTGAATAATAGAAGAATACGCTGCGAGGCAACTAACGTAGAGAAAAGAAGAGAGAACGCGAGTACCATCTCGACGAAGAAGAAGCATCCTCTTCGACTACGTCCAAATTGGACTCTTCTTTCATATTTTGTACACGATGTCCTGAGAGCGTGCTGCACATGCGAGAGAGAGAATATAAATTTTCTCTTTTTCAGAATACATATACATACACCGAAAAGACCTGTGCGAACCCATTAGACGCACTTTGTGCATCACAAAAACGTTACACTAACAAAATGTGTTTGTATCTATATTTGACTTTTCCGTGAAAATTATTACACTTTTTTTCATTTTGTCAAATACAAATTAACTACCAAAAAAATTTCGAAATAAAATTCAAAGTTAAGTTTTTTTTTTATCTGTTCTTTTATCTGTTATTTCACAGTAACATCTTCTTAAAGTAGACACTACATTTCGATGCAACATCAGATTGATTTATGTATTTTTTTTAATATGATTAAATCTTATTTTAAGTTTACAGTTTCATACATTATGCCTCGGTCTTCCCGAGTAACAAAACGGGTGTCGTTGTCGCGTACCTGCGTATATTGTCAAAGTGACAGACAAGTATTTGTTTTCGCTCAGCAAACGTAAGTAGATATAGTATAAATATTATTAAAGTCTGTTAAAAAAGAAAGTAGTTTGTTTTTTTTTTTTTTAATACGTCTGCAGTTTCTCCTGTGTCCTTGCGGAGAACGAATTTCACAGATATGTAACGCGTATATTACGTATATATATATATATATATTATATATATATGTATATATGTACTTTCAGGACACCCTGTACACTTGCATCAAGTCCGAACATCTCGGTAGAAGTCTCGACCTTTGGATTTCGCTTATTGCCTGGAAGTTATAACAAGGTTGTTCTACAAGTTTATTCGGTTAGGCATACGACCGTGCGACATGTCGTTAGTTTCGCTCGCGATTCTTCGCGCAAACTCTTCTCTCTCCTTTCTCTCTCACTCTCTTTCTCTCTTCTTCACGCTTTCTCTTTTCCGTCGTTTTCCGCTCCGCTCCGGCGACGCGGAGCGACGCGAATTATTCACGATGGAATTTTCGAGTGGTAGAAATCGTCCAGTTTTGAGTCGGTGATTTTCGCGGAATAAATTTGCAAGAGTAAACGGGAAGAGAAAGAGAGAACGGCGCAGAAAGAAAAAAGAAAATGTCGCGTTTCGTTCCTTTCATTCTGGAATTTTTTCCAGTTATCGATCCGATTAACAACTAAAGCAGCGCAGCGAACCGATACTTGCGTCTACTTCTGATACTCGAGCAGCAATGACGTGAAGAGCGCTGTGTGCTCTTCGAAGAGCAGCCATGTTGGTCATAAAGAATTAACTGAAGTGACGTGGATTTTTTTTGTTGCTTCTTTTTTTGTGAGTAAAACGTTTGACTTTTGATAAAAGAAGAATATAAATTTAGCTTCACATCAAAAGAAAACTATAACGAGTACCCGGCGATTGATGATGAACGGAAATGCGTTGCACCGATTCGCATCGTGTGCGACGAAGTTTTCAAAAACCGATTATATCCGCACAATATTTTTTATTGGTTTTGTTATCACATAGACACGCGCATAAATTTTTCCGTCGCGTCATTTACCGACAAACAACGGCAAACGTCAAAAATCTTCATAAAGAGAAGACTCGCTCGCAACGTAACACACATTCAACGGAGAAGCGAGTTAATAAAACTGTACACTCTATAACGTGTGGCCCACTTTTATAAATTCTTTTCTTCTCGATAAAGTATCTTCTGTCCTATCTATTTTTGTTTTGTTTTTTTTTTTTTTTTGTTTGTCCGATAAAGAATTGTCATCTTTTCCGAGACGGAGTTAAAAGTTTATTTTCTCTCGTCTTGAAAAACGTTTTATTCACTATATATATGTGTATTTCGATGACTTTTAAAATTTCTCACCGTACATACATTTTCCAGGTTACTCGAAATTTCGACACAACACACACGCCGTTAACGTGCATCGCAAACTTTGACGACACGAAACGTCGTCGTGATGGTGTGTGTTACGCGATACCGTCCGAGACCTTATCGATGGACAGGATCACGTAATTTTACGCGTATCACTTTGCCGGTGAAGTGGACGATGCATTCTCGGTGAACATTCGCTGCTTCGCACACCTATTGCGCCAATTTACGTCGTTGCTTCCAGATCACAGTGGAGCTGCTCTGCAATAATCTACAACAAAAAAATATAATATTTGCGCGTTTTAATGAACACCTAGTTAGAATACGCAGCAAAAAAAAAATAATAGAAGTGAACAAAGCTATTTACTATCAGAAGCATTGAGAAAAAAAAAGTAAAGAGAGAACTTCAGTTACAATAGAATATATGCGTGAGCGCAAATCTTTTTTTCTTTGCGATTTCTTTAAAGTGTTTCTTTTTCTGCAAATGAATAACGCAAATGAAGAGGATTACGGTAAAACTCTGACGATACATATAATTTCATAATTCTGTGTCTTACCCACATTAGCATTTGTTAATTAAATGAGGAAAAAAATAGCAAGAAAGAATAGAAGACCACACACACACACAGACATTCGGCCGCGGTGTTTTCATATAGAATTATGCAAAATATTAAAATTTCGCATTTAGAACTGTCTTTGTAATTTTAACGAAGCTTTTTCTTTTTTGATAAGTTCGCCGAGTCTCTCTTTCTGAGCAACATTATTCAAGACGACCGCAACTTCCAAGAGAAATTTTCTTCACACTCTCATCGACAAGTACATCTTTAATAAAACAGTTGCAGATAAACTGCAAAATATTTTTTTTATTTCCAGTTATATATTCAAAAAGACTTTTTTTTTTTTCATTCTTCGTCTTGTATAAAATTATCTTTGATTAAATGTATGAAAACTTTTACCATGGAAACGTGAAGTTGTTGTTGCAAAATTTGGTTTTTAAATTCAATAGATAATCTATGTATAAAAAGCAAGTTGATTTCCATAATACAGTGTTTAAGAGAAACATCTTATATCATATACATATGTATATATCGGCTTGTGCTCCATTGTCTACCATCTCTATTTTATACTGCGCAATTATTTGCTTTCTCCGGAAAACATTTGTGTAGTCGAAGCGAACAACACGAGAAAAAAGTACGTATATTATACCATCGCGTCTAAGCTTGGCGCACATTTGACTCACAGAAAAGATTACTTACTCTCTTTGCATTCGTTCTCTTTACTCTCGGTCGCGAAAACTGCTGTTTACGCGATCGATGCGGGGGCGTATCGCGCGCATGACTATGTGTGAGACTTACGTGTTGGGAGAACAAGTGGCGACGGTCAAGCGATGGCGTGTAAGTTTAAATATGTTTTCACATTTGAATATATTAATTATTCATTTTACATACCGCGGGTAAAGGGGAAAGAAATCGCGCTCGTCGCGTTAATCCTCGCGCGATTATGTCTGAGCGCGATGATTTCGCGCCGACTCATTACGCTCTCTCGTGTGAGCATGCGTGATAAAACAATTTCGCGCAGCGTCCGACGATATCATCGCTCGAGATTAACGGGTTCCGATTATTAATTTATTACATTTGCGATCGTTTCCTTTCATTAAAAATGATAGGTTATATAATAACATGCAATTTCACACAGTTTGCACCGTAAAAGTAAATTCCGTAAAGTAATTACCAAAGTTCATTATAGATGAAGTATTAAAATTCAAATCTCCGTAAAAGATCTCCCCAGAGACGCGTTATTAAGACACACACACACATTACATACACTTTGGCATATTAAATTGTTCGAAGTTAATATAATAACACATCTCTCTGATATACTGAGTGACTGACTAAATAATATCTCGATCGGTGATTTTATTTGTTGCGCATGATCGTACGTTGTGAATAACGTGTGTTAAATATCGCATATAACGATGTGTATACACACAACGCCATTGTATTCTTGCATGTTATCGATAACAAATAAGTTATGAAATTCAGTATGATGGATATAGATGGCCACGTAATTTTCGATCACAATTAACCGCACTCTGATAATATTTCAGTATACATATGTATGTACAACAATATATTATTGGCCGTTGTCATGACCGCTTGTGATTTATGATATGCAGTAATCTATCATGATCATTGTGTATTAATTTCGATTGATAGTTAATGAATGCGTCGAGAGGGATACACGCAAATACACATCATCCACAATTCTATGCTGTAATTATCCCGATGATATGATACGTCTAGATAGTGTATACCATACACACTGCACTAAACACAACTGGGTCATCAATCTCAGTATGTCATCTCAAGATAGTTATTGATCACCGCAAAAGCAAAGTATGTAAAAGCGATCTGACGTTATTAAATCAAATTTGTTGAGACGCGCGGACACACATTTTTATATTCATATGCACACGCTATTTATTTATAAAATATTTTTCTCTCTTACGTTCCCGTATTTACGCATTATATTTCCGTGTTACGTAAATTAGTTTTTGCAATAAAACAAAAACGATATTACGGAATCGACATGTAATTAACGACACGCAACGCGTGCGCAAAATTTCAATACGTTCGAAAACTAACTAATCGCGCAAAACTAATTACGAGTTGTTGTGTTTATGCAAAAGATAAAGCGCGATCTTGTTTTGATTTCTTTTTTTAATATAATTTTTTGATTTTTTAAATTATTATTTGATGATATATAGCGTTTTATATTATATATTTTTCGATCGGGCTTCGAATCAGCAATTAGTGCTGCTGCCCCGCCTTTTGATTTACAATTGTGTTATCAGAATTGTAAACTTCATTAATCTGTTCACACTACCACAATAGTATTCAATAAAATTGTTATTATTATTATTTTTATTTTTATTTTCGCGTTACAATGAGAAAAAAACGTGCACTTAAGTAATAAATTTATCTTTTTAACAATGCACATTTTTTTAGTGTAATATATAATTACTTGTACATCATTATGTAGATAATATGAAAAATCACGTGCGCACGCAACAGACAATTTTCTAGCGCGTTAGTTTTTTTACGAGTCACTCATATGTTTATATTATTTCACGTCGCCAAAGATTGCTCGGAATATAAGTTGTTTATATATATCCGCGATAACCACGCGGGTGGAAACCACATTTTTCTCGCCACCGTATCACACTGATAAAAATAATAATATATTCGCAAACACATTGTCCTTTCGCACAGGAAAAAATAGTACCGATAGAGCAAAAATATAAATTTCGATTTGTAACTGTTGGGATAAAAAAAAGAAAAAAAGAAAAAGGAAAAAAAAGTATGGTAATTCCACACGGAAATGTCGATCGCTGGACTGGGACGGATAGGACGAACGCTCTCTCACGGTTCGTAGTCCATAATAGATATTTAAATCCTGTGGTTCGCGAAACGCAGCAGAACCGACACGCTGTGGTTCACATTGCTGTTGGATATCGATATTATTTCGTTCCGCGGCAAGTGTGAGCGGAAATCGGGAAGAGAAATTATTGGTGACAATATTATACAGGATATTCCATACATATATATGTATAAGCCATGAGATTTTTTACATATATATATATATATATATGATTTTAACAATATCTCTGAAAAACTGTAACACAAATGTAACATACAAAAGTACTTTAGCGCCGAAAAATTTACACAAGTCTAAATAATCAATTTTAATTCAAATATATAATTTATATTTTACAACATCGCGAACGAGTTGGTTGCGAAATTAACATAGTATTAAAACACACATTTTTTGTTTCGACATGTACGCGTACAAGAGTGTAAATATTGAGATATTGCTTTTTGTAGTACTCGCTATTGCAATTACTTTCTATCTAAATAACGCAAACGCATAAAACGTAAAACAAATTTTTAAGCGGGTTTTGTATTTATACATACGTGCGACCGGCATTTTTTTCTGTTTTATTTCCGACTGACAGACGCCAGTTGGAGAATTAATAAAAAGTTGAAACAAACATCTCTCGAGGGATTTTTCAACGAATAGAAACGATAAGCGTATCAAGTAACTATTCGTGCATTGTTATCCTTTTCAATCCTTTCCGGATTTCAAGTTTCTGTGTCGACAAAAAGACTCGTCAAACGTACAGAACTGATAAAAGAGACTGGCTATTATATAGCGGTAAAATAACCGGTAGGTGTGTGGTCGCGTCAGTTAATTACAAAAATAATTTAATACAATATAGTTGCTTTCTTTTATCGTTTCCCTCTCTTACGCCGGGGCTTTACTTTTATCGCGCGCACAACACGTCGCATATCCGAGTCGCGGATATGTGCATTCCTACATGCGTGTGCTCTTAATGAATCCAATGAACATACTTTGCTGTTTTATTGATTCCGCGTTTGCGGTGCTCAGCTATTTGGACCGGGGCCAAACGTGACAAAAAGAATACGCGCGTTTAAATGTACACGGACAAAGTGTTTGTTCGCGTTCAACGGATGAATTCGTTTATTCGCGCAAGTACCAGTTAATTTGGAGAGCCAAAAATCTCCCGTCGAACAAACGTACTGACTATTCTTGCTTCCCACGTGCCAATGTACAGTCGGTTAATCACACACCGGTAACCAACGCAATATAACGAACGCAATTAGACAATCAATATTGGCAAACAATGCGCATGAGATAAATAATAATATTTTTTAATACGAGAGATATGAATAACTGTGAAAATGCGTATGCGAACGAGAAAGTGTGCAGTGAATTTTTAATTAAATTCTTTAATCCTTATCGCCTCGTTTAACAATAAATAAATAAAAGTCGTTGTTGATTGTACGGTTTCGAACATTTTTTTTTGTTTTAATAATTTGTTGTACTCTCAGACTGGATGATTTAACTGATTAAATTGTTAAGTTGATGGCTTAAACACAAGTCAGACATTGGCGTGGATGTCCACGGATTTAATGCTAAATCCGCTTTGTGCAATTTGGTACGGTTAATTGGCACTTGGTTTACGCCCTCGTATTAATCGACAGTTTCGCGTCTCTTTTTTAGTCAAAGAAAAGAGAAATAGAAAAGAAAAGGGGAAATAGAAAAATTATACTTTAACATAATAATAATAATATTTTTATGTGGCACAAAAAAATAAACAGAATGTTCATTTAAGATTACGCTCCGCGTAATATATAAGCAGAAGCCAATAAAGAATCATTTAAATAAATATACATTACTTTTCCAGGTTGCGGAAGAGCGGAGGAATGCGGATAGATTAAAAAAAATGAGGTCACCATATCGCGCTCTCTCGGTGAGAATATTTAGCACGTGCATTTTTTAATTAAATAAAAGTAGAAATTCTCTGTGCGTGTTTTTATATTACGCGCGCGAACGTATATATATATATATATGTGTGTGTGTGTGTATGTGTGTGTGACACATTCGTCGAATGGCACGGCATAATGTCATTTTCAAATCGCCGGACGTCATGTACAAACCACATGTTATCGGATAATAGCGGACATATACCTTGCAATTTTACGGCTCGATTCAATTGTGTGTGTGTGCTCGAATAACGATATTTCACATGAAATAACAAGTTAACTTTCAATTAAAAATATATTTAACATGCCTTTGATGTACAACGTGCAGAAAAAAAAAAGACATTGAAACTCAAAATTATTGCACATGTGTAGCGGGCAAATAATAAATTTTCAAAAATTAAACGGTTCGACGGTTTGACCTTAAAATCGAAAAAATTTCAAGTTAAAGTCTCAAGTTTCTTGTTTGCCACGTTACTTTTTCCTCGCTACTCGATATGCTCTTTTTTTTTTTTTTTTTTTGGAACACGCGCATTATCGTTTTCAAAAAAAAAAATGTACGGTTATTCGATATTATTGTATTTTCTTGTATTTTTCAAAATTCGCCGAGAATAATTGTAAAAAAAAAAAATCTCATTAATATCCGTTCAAATGCTCCGCAAATTTTCTCGCAACTCGTGCCGTAAAATAAAAAATTGCGCGAACACTTTACCGTTACAGAACTTCTCTTTGGAAAAATTCCCCGGCCGCATCGAATTCCAAACGTGAATTCTCCGACGAGGAATGAGAAATATGCACACGCGACGACGATTCCACGACTCCATCTCCGACGATGGCATTAATCTCGGCTTGCAGATCGCGTGCGTAACGCGTTGCGGCGGGAAAACCACGCGTGGCATCGTGTCTCTCGTCATGTGCACACCTATACACACAGACACACACACACACACACATACAGCACGTGTATTATACACGACACGTCAGACACACTTCGTGATAGTGAAGTATGTCATCGGATTTAATTCGGCGGTTTGTCGGTGCTCGAACGATCGAAATGTACACGCGCGTACCGAGAGTGACAGAGACAAGGACAACACCGATGGTGGATTGGCGATCGGTGAACACGAGAAGGGACGAAAAGTGAGAAGAGAGAGTACATAATCTCTCTTTCTCTCTCTCTCTCTCTCTCTCTCTCTCTCTTGCTGTGTGTTGCTCCGACAACGATGTTTTGCGATGAGCGATGGACGGATGTGACGTCACGGGAGCTCACGCCGTGATCTATGGCGGCTGATAATGAAAGCGCAGAGGTGAGATACCGCGGTGGAAACTATACCGTATAAGCTATAGTTTCCGCGGGAGCCGTCATACGGCAATGCCGCAGCATTCAACCGCCGGCCGTCCTCTCCCTTCGCGTTTACTGCCCAACCAACCCTCACCGTTCCCCTTCGTCATTCTCGTCGCCAAACCCCCGTTTCCTCCTGGCGTGGTTCATCGCGAAATTATATCTTCACAATGGGGGATTCGATGCGGCGACGATAAAAGCTTGAATTATGAATATCGGTTAATTCACGCGCGTTACGCATTCGAGAGCCCGCACGATATGGATGGCCCGGTGGCAGCGTTACTTTATGACGCGGTCGTGCAATTCCGCCGCGCGCTCCCGATAGCGAAACGCGCGAAAACTTGCAATTATCGTGGCGCGGTGCCGCAACTCCATTCGTTCCGCGATAACAGCTGGGAGGTCCGGTAATACGCGCGCGCGCTATGTATTGATGTCGCGTAGCGGACACACAGCGATAACACACCGGCGTGTAACAAAGAATTTTCCACATTTCGCGAACTACATAATAACGCACGAGTTTTATATGTAATAGTTTCTTCGTGCTCACGTGTGTGTGTGTGTGTGTATATATGATTAACTGTGTCGAGCATTAATGTCAGGCATAATTAAATCACACACAAAGGAATGCAATTATTCGAGCGAGAAATACGTAGCAAATGTGCTGATATATTTCTTGTCCTGAATGCGAATACATTTTGAAGAACATCGTCTACTTTACGCGTGTCCTGGTTAACTAGTTTTTTAATTAGTCGGTATCTCGTGTGAATTACGATGCAAGAAAAAAAGAAGAAAAAAAAAAAGCTTATCGACGGAACGTCGGATTACGCGGTTGTAATAAAATTTCCGATAACTCTCTCCCGCAGCTCTCTCTCTCTCTCTCTCTCTCTCTCTCTCTCTCTCTCTTTCTATCTCTCCTCCCTCTTCTCTAATCTCCTCGTCATGTGATTTCATTAACGTACCGGTCTGAAAATATTGATGCTCAAAAAAAAAAACAAAAAATCGAGTGCTCTCTCTTCTTAAACTTGAATCGAGATACCGAAGATCTCGTCATCGTGTATAACATAAACAATAGGTAGAAAATATTTTGTGCCCGCTTACAAATACAATTAAAACACAATCTATTTTGCGTATACATATTCATGAGATACACAGCGTGGATCGGATTCAATATTTGCGATGGAAGTACGTAGGCGAAAAAAAAAAAAAAAAAAACCTTTATCGCGTAAAACGTGTAACTTTTTGTGCAAATTTGAAACTTTTTAAGCGGATTAATAATAAGGAGAAAAAGTTCTTTCTTTTTTTTTCTATTCGGGGTTTTGAAATAAAACTGCTTTCCGATCTCAAGTCACGTGCGAACTGTTAACATTCGCGTCAATCAATTCGTCAATGTCGTTCACCGTGATTGGGGCGCGACGCGTCGAAAAAGCCAACATAATCCTTCCGTGCCTCTTTTACTCTCGCGCGGGGGATATGTAGATTTCGCGATTATCCGGAAACTCCCGCGTGGCGTGAGCTTCTTACAAGTCGATGAGCTTCCTGAAAACTCATCTAAAACTCGGATTAGGCGCGGTTGCGGGAGAAAAAAAAAAGAGTTACAAGGATGATGAGAGAAGAAAGATGAAGGTTGCACATTGTGGAATATAAAAGATACGGTCAACATGCGGAGGAAAAAGTCATGAAAAGAGAGAGAGAGAGAGAGAGAGAGAGAGCGAGCGAGAGAGAGAGAGACAGAGAGAGAGAGAGAAAGTGAGAGATAGAAAGAAGAGACACAGAGATGATAAGCTCGTCCTGAAGATTGAAAGACATTGTAACCGTTCAACGAAGCTTTTCCAGAGAGATAAAGTGTTATTATCGACAGCTGCCTAAAGCGTTTTAACGATGTTGAAGCGTTAATAATTATAAAAACTGCTCAAACTCTTCAGTTAAAACTGCAGTTTTACAGCTCGATATTCGCTGCGTCGTTTTAACACACAGCGCCGCGCTCGATTTTTTCTCAATGAAAATTTCAATGCTAATAGCGACTTAATTAACTTTTCCGCGCATATTTTACGCGTCTTTATCGCCTTACCTTAGTACTGTCATCTGGTGAAGATATAACTCATCGTCAGGTGAATCAGCCACAGATTAAGGAAGGCTCTTGAAACTCCGTTGCCGTCATGTACCGCGGCTGGCAATTCACCTGAAATTACATCGGGATCATTACATCCTTCAGCTCTTATATATATCTTTTGCAAGACCTTATTGCTCAGTTTCAAATGAAATTAGATAAAACGAGTAATTTAATACTAAACGCGATGTGTGCAAGAAGAACCGAGAAGAAAAACCAATTAAGGTTATACTTTTGTCTTATAAGACAGGTAACATCTGTCTTAAATAAAAGCTAACAGAGAGACATTGATATATTTCTACTATAATTAAGCTAAATATATATATATATATATATATATATATATATATATAAATTTATGTATGTATCGTAAATAGAAAAACTACGCATGATAAAAAAAGAAACATTTTTTTATATCTAAGTAAAATTTAATTTTACATGTGTGAGAAAGAAACGTGATACAACTTTAATTTTTTTAAAACTACAGCATCTATTTATTTAAAAAATATATTTCCGCTCTTAATTGTCAATTTCTTTTTCAGCTCTTTTCAATTGTCATAAAACTGAAGAGCGTAATAAAAGTAACTCTAGTGTCACATATATAAATTAAGTAAATCCCTCATTCTCAGAGATCGGAGTTAAAACAATTAGCGTAAAGCTGTTCGTGTACGCGCGTCTCTCATGCGTTGACAAAAACACATTTATCATTTCATTAATAGTTGCGTGTTCTCTCCGGTCTATGGATTTTCTGTCAGATGCAGTTGACGTATTTTCGTAGACTCTGTTTAATCGCACTTTCGACTGAGTTACGTTTCTCAGATAATAGTCGGTGTCTTTGGGTCGTCGCGAAATTAGGCAGCTCTTATTAATGGCTCTTACGGAGCTCTTGGCGCTTCTTCGTTGTCGCTTACGTACGCCTACGTACATTTATATATGCGCGAGCACGTAGATATGAGTTCCGCACACACACGGTGGAAGATAAAATATCTAAACGTTCATTTGGTTATTTTAATACTGCGTATTTCACGTGTTTTATTATCGAATGTTAATATTTTACACGTATATGCAAATTGAGGTGACAAAGTTAATTAAACGCTTAAGGAAAAGTTGACTTTTGACTTAATTAAATTCAGATACTTGATTGATCTTTTGTGTTCTTCCCTCTTTTCGCTCCGGTAATGCGCGGCGCTCCGCTGCTCTCTTGCGAGAGCAACATTCCGAAATTGAAAATAAATACATTATCAAGTCTTCTTTCCATTTGCCGCGTTCGCTTAACGACAAAACTTAATTCAACCATTCCATCTGGTAAATTGCTTCTTCGTTTTGACAGTAGTATTTCGCAAATACGATTCGCCGCTACTACACACTCCCATTGTGTCGGTGTATTATTATTCCGACACCATGCGCGCAGCTTCGCCTTTCAATTAAAAAGTTTTCGCTTAATCGAGTGAAATATTTTTCACGAGATCTTTTTTCCCCCCGGCGAAACAAAAACCTTCAAAAATTTCCCCTCTCTCAATCGCTTCTGTATATATAATGCACATATATATTTTCTCCATTATTCGACGCGTTCTCGTAACAACGCGAATGCGATATTTAATTGACCTGAAGTCTTGTTTTAATCGAAGTTCAGATCGAGATTGCGTCCGAGATATCGCCAAGAATGATACCACGATGAACGACTACTTTTTGCTGCCAAGTTTTCTCAGAGCGTTATTATTCATCGTTATCGATCATTCGAATCCGTCCGCGGTCATCGATGATACCGTTCTTCTTTTCTGCTTGTCGTCGGAGTGCCCGCCGATAGAAATCGCGATCCTGGCCGTGTTCCAGGATCACCCTGGAATTTGTCAATTCGTCCCATTCGATCACCGTCCCCCCGCCCACTGACTTACGGCTTCTTTCCCTCTCTCCCGTCTTCCCGTCTTTCGTTTCCGGCCTCAGGTATCACCGCGCGGCTTCGTCTATCTATCCTCCTCCCCTCCCCTCTCTTACTCACCTTCGATTCTTCATCCAGTTTCAGGTTCTTCGTTTTCTCCTCTCCCCGTCGATATCTCTTCAACTCCTCTATCGGGCGCCTCACTTTTTCATCTTTTTTTTTTACTTCTGTTCTCTTTTCCTTTCGCATTTCTGTCTTTACCCTTTCTCCTCGTCGCCTCGCAATCTCACTTTACGATTCTTCATCTACAGATTCCTTTTTCTCGTTCCTTGCCAACCGATCCAGCCGCAGATCTTTCTTTTCGATCGTCTCGCAAAAAAATCACGCTGATTCTGAAATCTCTTTTACTCGTCTTAATCTGGGCATTCGTTCCGACAGCCACCCTGAGAGAGGCCGACATTTTTCAATGGGACACCACGAAGACACGAGGATCGACGCTGAAACTCTCAGAGCGAACCGCGTCGGCTGGCCGCGTTTAATACGTATTTCGATATATTTTCAGTAGCACTAAGTATCGATTTACCACGTAAGAAATTCCTTCTTTTCTCTTTTTTCTCCCCTTCATCCCTCTCTTTCCATCTCTCTTTCTCTTTCTTCCTTTTCCTTTTTCTTCTTTTGCCTTTTTCCGTTGACGGTCTTTTCATCTTTCTATAGAAGAAAAGTCGTGATGGATAGTTGATTGGTTTTTAATGGAAACTACTGCAACTTGGTTTCAATTTTCAATTATATCACGATAACACACACACACACACACACTTAAAAGAAAAAAAATTGAATACCTACGATCTCGCAATGTGTTTCAATATTTCTATAGTATTACATATGTGTACAAAAGAAAATATAATACGCAAATCATTGATTATTATTTTTATAACGTTTTCGACGAGAGAGAAAAGGGAGCGTTTCACCGATCCTCGATGTCGAAAGTACAGAGTCTCCTATTGGCTGTCCATTCCGCTAGTTCAGCATTAGGGATTCCAATTCCCGATGCTTGTCCTTCGGCTGGCCACAAGCCGGGATCTTAGATTTAATCTTTCGATTTAGGATTGAACTCTCGGGTGCGAGGTTCGGAGATGCTTTGTCTAATGTTAAAGGGCAGCCGGAGAACTATCTCCGATATATCTAACAAAAGTTCAAATTACAATATGTTTAAATTAATTTCGTTTTAACGATGCAAAAGCATTTCCCAGTAAAAAAATTTTAAATTTTCACATAGATTTGATAAAATTTCTTCTCATTATTAATATGTGTAAAAAATGACAAATTACATATAAAGAATTTAAGTTAAAAATAATTTATGTGTCAGAGCGATCATTATTTAATTCTCGCAATCTAACTTGGATCACTTCTAAGTACAACGTAAAAAAATTACGTTATATGTAGCCTCGACGTGTTCGTATCGGAAGTTTTTTATTCTAACAAATATCTATCGAATTGTTGATTTATTGATATCGATATTGGTGGTTTTTGAGTCATCCTGTGGACAATTTACAACTTATATATTTCTTTGTTAAATGAGAAACACGATTTCAAAATAAATCGAGACTCTTATCAGGAGGACCGCAGATACGAGGTTTCGGCGGTATACAAGGCGGTAATAAAGCGAAACGAATGGCGATTATTGGGTCAAAATCAAAGGTCGTAGATTGGAGCGGCTCCTTTCGAGATTTGGGCTATATATTCCCCAAATATATATATATATACATGTATATATATATATATATATCTCAGATCCACTCTTTACGACACCACAATCACGTACTAGAGTTCAGTATTGCTCACTTCCCCACGTTTCTGCGCAGAAAACCTCATACTGCCGAGTGGAGGACAAAACTGGCACGAGAACCACGTTCCAAAGGACTTTCATCTCTATTACTTTGTCTCACTACACCTCGAGAGGTTTTGGGACGGTCTTCTTCACGACGGTTTTCTTTTTTTGCGATCGTAAAGAAAGGTATCAATTGGCAAATGTCTTTTATATGTGTTTATTTCGACAGCTGAAGGTAAACATTAGTGCTGCTCTAAACATATTTTATTACTTTATTTTAAAAAATGTTTACTTAAACGTAATTGTCGCTTGAAGTTATTTCGTTAACAAATCAGCGACTAAAATACGTGATAGTCGCGCAATTATCTGCACGTCAACTGAAATTAGATCAGAATCGATTAATCAAGGCTGTGTTTTATTGCCGTTGCGAAATTAAAGTCCGCCGTAAACGTAGGGAATAGAACCTCTCTCTCTCTCTCTCCCTCTCTCTCTCTCTCTCTCTCTCTCGGGTTCTATTATAATTGGCTTAAAAGATATTCAGCTTGGAAATTCGGGTCCCGAGAGCGCGCACCTTAATGACCCAAACATTGCGCGGTTCCGAGTTGATTAGCGACAGAAGCATCCAAGGCCGGGTGGCATTTTAATTGGTCCCCGCCTAACCTTCACCCCCGTCTTTGCGGGCTCACCACCCGAAACCAGACCAGACGCGAAAGAGAAATTACTGGATTACGTCACATCGTGCCGCAGGGCACCGAGCTGTTGTATCTTACCGAGAACGATTTCTCACGCGGAGAGCTCGCCAGTTTCCGAAAATAGTCGACGGAATGTCGTAACCATCCTGCCTTCAGCAGCTCGTGAAATAAGATTCCATCGCAGATTTCCGATCGAAGACTTTTGCGCTTGTCTCGGCGCTCATCGGAGCGAATTTCTCGGATATAAGAAACTTCGCTTCGTCGTCCGTCGTTGCGAAGAGACACGGACTTTTAAAATTTACATGTACGACGCGCACACAAAGGACATCCTGATTATATAAATCTCTTAAGAGCCATAAAGTCGACCGTTTATCATTCCGCACATATTCATGAGCAATAACAAGTCTTTGTTGCAAAAACCTTTATTGTGAAAACTTTTGTAGAGCTTATATTTTAAACATACCCACGCATTGAAAATTTACACACTTCCATAACAACAAAACAGTAACCTTTACGCAATATTTTATTCTATCTCCTTTGTCATTTCCATTCGGGAGAATAAATATTATAATAATGTAATTTATGATCTATTAAAAACGGGGCTTTATTACAAACAAATAGCAAATAACGTTTTCAGATACAAGATCACAAAACTGTATCAAATAAATAAATA